AAGCTGAACTCCTATTTTGCATGTGGGAGGCCCAGGTCTAATCCCCCAGCAGAAGGTCCTCTCTTAACCCCACCAGGAGTGATCCCCAACACAGAACTGAGAGTAGCCCGCAACAATGGCAGGATAAAATCCAAAACAAAAAAAAAAAGAAAAAATACAAAAAGGAAAAGGAAAATGGTAGTACTTTCAAACTACACTACAAAGTGACCTAGTCCTATACAGTACTAGAATAAAATTAGACACAAAAATCAGTAGAATTGGAAGCTAAGAACTAAAATCCATACATATAAACTGTCACTGTCCTCCCATTGTTCATCGATTTGCTCGAGTGGGCACCAATAACATTGTGAGACTTGTTGTTACTGTGTTTGGCATATCGAATACATCACGGGGAGCTTGCCAGGCTTTGCTGTGCGGGATCTCCAAGAGGGGCGGAGGAATCGAACTTGGGTTGACCGGGTATGCTGCATGCAAGGCAAACACACTACTGGCTGTGCTATCGCTCCAGCCCAGAAACCACCTTCTTGACCTCCATAAAAATACTTCTAAGCTTACTTTTCTTTAAGCACAGGTAATCAAAGTAACTTCATTTGGCATTTCATGTTTCTTTACTGTAAATGTTTATTAAGACACTTTCAAGTACATTAATAAACTTGTGGTTTATTATTATTAGCATTTCAAACAATTTCTGAGAGAAAATACCCTCCAATGTCCAAACATATATTTAAGTGGTAGCAAGAACTATTACTTAGTCAATATACTCTCCAATACAAAAATTTCAAGACCGTCAAATATATGTTTTAAGACTGGTAGATTTTACAATGGTTTCGTAAAGAAACTTTCCCCAAATCCATATATATATATATATATATACATATATACATATATGCATATACATTTCCCTCTTTAATTCAAGAACAAAACGGCCAATTCAGTAAGAGTCATCTACTGAGGGGGCTGAAGCGAAAGAGACGGCACAGCAGGTAGAGTGCTTGCCCTGCACTTGGCTGACTTTGGTCCAGTCCCCGGCAACCTATATGGTTCCCCCTCACCCCCGGGAACACCAGAAGTGATCCCTGAAAAGAGTTAGTTAGGAGTAAGCCCTGACCACTACTGCTCTGTGGCCCACAACCAAACAAACAAAAAATAAAACAGTCTACTGTGAACTCACAAGGCCAAAGCAACAGACAAAAGAACTCAGTTCAATGAGATAAACTCACTCTCTGGTCATCCCCCAGCATGCAGTCAAAAACTGCCCCTCCCAATAGTTCTGTAATTGTGTGCTTTCATACCTGCACCTTTTCTCTACCTAGAATTTCAAGACCTCTCATCACTTCACAAACCTGTAAAATCTCCTGCTCTGCCACATTAAGACTAACAACTGCATAGTACCCTCAGTAAATACTGTTTTCTCTTAACCATACAATATAGATTTACCGAAGCACTGGATCTTAATCTTTTTGTTGTCTCTCTCAGGAAATTACTTAAAAGTACCTTCTAGCACAAAATATTCCATAATAGGCCTTAGAGAAAATGAAAATATAAAGTCTAACTCTTAGTTGTCCCCTTTACAAAACTCTCAGAAAGTTTATGCTCCCAGCATATTCGAAATCCCCAGAACTACCAGTGTCTAGCAGTAAGAACTTGACTATAAAAGACTATTTAAAAAATTGGCTTTAATAAGAGTTTTAAGGATGATTAGAATGAAGTAGGTAAAGTCTAGAGTAAGCACCAAAACTTTAGTGGCAAAACATACTAGAATAAAAGCAAATTTTCCTTACCTCAACCCACTGAATTTCAAGTCATTTTCATAAGTGGAACATTCGTGGGGTTCATGCACATTTAAGTTTTCATTCTGCTGCCTACAGAATAGCCTGTCTACTGGTACTAAACCTTAGTAGCCCTTCAAAGAACACAAAATATCAAAACATGGGAATAAGACTAGGATGTGCTTTCCAGATAAAATGAACCTATGATCTAAGCCTAACAAGATTCTTTTAAAAATGCTGACATTCTAAAATTGAGTCCACACATTTCTTGGTCATTTTTTCATTAGTGGACTATGTAGTTATCCAGAGACCTTAAATTTCAGGCCTACAAGGGGCCTTTAGTAACCATCAAAAGTACAGAACTCTAGAAAGTGAGGATTTAATCCCAAATTAAGCCCTAATACTTATTTTAAAATTAAGTAGCCCATCCAAGATCTCACAATTCATACATCAAAAAAATTATGTCTAAATCCCTATGTTGTTCTTTGTATTCTACCATGAGAACTTATTTCTTACATATTAATATTCTACTGGTAATTAACTTTGTACTGAACATGATCCTTCTAGCGCCAAGTATTTTAAAACTTAGCACAAATTACAATTAACAAATTTATGAGAAATTAGATCGTGTTACTTTAAAGTAGATCGTGTTACTTTAAAACAGAACACATGTAGTCATTAATTCCTGTATTAAAAGATAGAGAAATCCTCAAAATACTTCACTTCAAATGCATTCTGATTAATCTATTAGGTGTAGACGTTCAATAAAATATAAAAATAATGTCAATTACTGGAAGACACTGCTGTTCCTAAACAATATCTTCTACAACACTATTATACACTAATATACACTCACTAATACACACTAATATACTCTAATAGTATACACTACACACTATCTTCTACAATATTCACTATTAGACATGTATAAACTGAGTTGGAGAATAAGAGAGAGCTCAGGGCGGCAAGATGGACCGGGGACAGAGAGAAGAATGTAGAAGAAGAATACAGGAGCTGGCACATGGAGAGAGAGAACCCAGGCTGCCAGATGGAGCACGGAGAAATGAGCCTCAGAGACAGGATTGAGGGGAGTGTGAGCCGAGAATGGGAAGCTCAGAGACTGGGGCAGTGGGTGGGGAGAATGGAATAAACGGCAACTGATCAACCAAAAAAAAAGTATTAACTTCTAGAATAACTCATCTTCAAAAAACTGTTTTGATTTATTCCAGAGCAAATTAATAGTCTTAATCAACCCCAACACTACAGAGTAAAATCGTGCGTCTTTCTTATCACGTTTTAAAAACCTCAAGCATGCAAACATTTCCAAGAAATTTCAAAAAGGCAGCTTGTCAGTAATCGTATGTAGTAAAAACACATGGCTTTCTAAACATATTACCCATATACAAATCTGACTAGTTAAACAAGTGTACCACTATAGGAAAATTGGTATCTTTAGTTTGAAAATAAAATAAAAATGAAAGTCACCATTTTTACAGAACGAGCCAGACTAACTGGAAGGAAAAAAAAAATCACTCCGCACATTCCAGCTGACTGTTTTGATATATGTATAGGTGTATACAAAAGTATTGTTATGTTCGCTTAAATCTCAATGGCTTGAACCGAGAACAAGTTCCAAAGTGCATTAACATGTAACCACCACCGTAATTCTTCAAAAGTACCTTCCAATTTATTTCTCCCGACAGCTTTGATTTTGGCCCTCAACTACACAGATCTAAACTACCGATACCCAAACAATCCGGTCTGAGTAAATGCCACGATACAAAAATCTTTAATATTAGCAAACTGACTTTTAAAAAAGTGTCAAAGGCAGTTACTAAACTCTCTGGGTAGCAAAACTTTTGGGGAAAAAAAAAACACTTTTGGCTCAGCAGCCACAAAACCAAAACTGTTATTTCATAGGCGACTTCACTACGCCAGCCAGCACATGGCTTTTACTGGGCACGCGAGCATTTAACATTTTTCACGGGTCTCCTTCCACAAATCGGAAAATTTCTTCCCGGGATGGGGGGGGGGGGGGGTTGGGCGTGCTTTGGGGTCATGAAGGATGTAGTTAATTCATAACCTCAGAGAGAGAGACAGAGAGAGAGAGAGAGAGCGAGCGAGCTCCTCTGCCACAATTCTCTAATCGAAGTCCATTTGGCTCCTTCCTTTAAAATTCACACGCACCTCCCCACCACCAAAAAGCCACAAGTATCGAAATACGCCACTCTGGAAACCCGGGGGCGTTTGCGCCGCGACGGCGGCGGGAAGGCAGGGACCAGAAATCCCAGCGGCGCCGCGCGGCGGGGGGCGGGGGGGGGGGGGCGGTGGGAGTGCGGGAGAACCCGGGAAAATGTAACCATTCTCCCCGGGGCGCGAGCGCAGGGCTTGGAACCGCCGGCACATGGCTCCCGGGCGCGTCCCCGTCACCTCGCACCCCCGGGAGAAACCCCCGGCTTTCAACACCACCCGTTTCCGCGCTCCACCGAAAACCGCTCGAGGTCCCGCCGTGGGGGAGACTGGAGGGTGGGGGGGAGGGTGGCTTCAACCAGAAATGGGGGGGAAAAAAATGACAAGAGATGCTGGCGGGAAAACCCGGGGGCCTCCACCCCGCGGCGCCCCTCCCCCTTATTAGCCCTACCTTCCACGAAAGAAATCGTACACACAACACACACACACACACACACACACACAAAGTTTGCATTCCGATCGACTAAGCCGTTTCCCACCCCCTCCACTCGCGCACCCTCCGCACCCTCCTTCCCCGCCTCAAAATAAGCGGATCGCGGCGCTGGGGGCCTCCCGGGGCCACCACCCCCCACGGCCAGAGCAGCCGCTGGGCCCGCAAGTCGGGCGGCCTGGCGCCTCCAAGGGCCGCGAGCAGGCCCGGCCTCGGGGCTCCGGGTCCGGGCCGATTCCCCTGCCCGCGGCGAGGGCCGCGCCGGACCCTGCCCGCCACCCGGGACGCGGGGCCACAAGCCGGGGAACGCAGCAGGGCAACGGCCCGGAGGGGATGGGGGTGGGGGAGGGCGGGGAGCGGCTGGCCGGGATTTCGGGCAGCCAGGCCGGCCCGGGTCCACCAGCTGAGCGGCCGGCCCACTGGCCCGCCACCTGGGGAGAGGAGCGGGGAGCCGCGCCGAGGCCGGAGGGGTGGGGCCAGGCCTGCGGGAGGGCCGGGGGTCCCGGGCCCGGCCGGCCCGCGGCGCGCCCGGGGCCGGATCTCGGCCTCACCTGAAGTCCTTGTCGCTGGATGTCATTTTTTCCAGCAGATTGGAAATGTGGTACGAGGCGCTCGCCATGTTGACGGCCTCGATCCCGCCCGCTGGCGCTGGCGGCCGCTGCTGCTGCTGCTGCTGCTGCTGCTGGGGCTCCTCCTCTTGCTCGCGGCGGCTCCCGCTTCCAGGGTCGCAGCGACGCCGACGCGGACTGGGGAGGCGCCTCCGCCGGCTCCCCCCTCCTCCCCGGCGAGGCGCGGGCCTATCCCGGGGGGGAAGCCGAGGCTCCGGAGCCGCCCTAACGACGGCGCTGCTCCCCGGGGAAGGCGCTCATGGGCGGCGGCGGCGGCGCGCACGGCGGCGGGGGCGGGGCCGGGGGGGGTCTCTCCGCGGGGCCCAAACGCTACCTCTCGGGCCCGGCTCGTCCCCCACTCGCTCCGCACCCGCTCCGTAGGGCAAGAGGCCAAAACCCGCCTCCCTCGCTACGGGAGCAGGAGCGGCGGACGCGAGACGCGACGGAAGGCCGGGGTCAGGGGTCACCGAGGTCTCCTCACGCACGCTGGAGAGACGCTGAGCGAGAGCGCGGTCCTATTGGCGGGGCTTGTGCCAGTCTTCGCAGGACCCGCCTTCCTGGAGGCAGGACCACGACCAAGGAGGGGTGCTCTCGCGAGACTTGAAAGCGACGGTTAAAGGACGGGGGGGCGAGTGGGACAAGCATTTCTTGATCTGAAACGGGGGGGGGGGGAGGAGGAGGAGGGGCGTTATTTCTGCGTGACAGTAAGATTTAAAAAAAAATACATATAAAAGATTATTATTCTTAAAGAGTGTAATACTTAGTAGTAGTGCCGACTGGGGGTAAATCTGGAGCGCAACTGAAGCGTTATCAGGAGCGCCTTCCGTCTCGAATCTACGCGTGGCCTAGATTGCTGGAAGCCGAATGGGGGCGGGGGGGAGAGACGCTTTGCCACGTAAAAACCACAAGTCCCAGAATTCCTTGCGGCTGGTGCCGTAGGCCAGGCGGTGATTGGCTGAAGGAACTTGTAGCGTCTTCATTGGCTCCCATCGGAGGAGTGGGGACTGGGGTTTGCAGTCCGGCGAGGTGGGCCGTGGCGGATGGAAGCGCCGCGCCCTCCGGATGAAGGCGGTGGACTCCAGTCTCTTCTGCCGGTGCTCTTGCTGTTAGAGACTGACTCCGGAGCGGGGCTGTTGCAGCCTGGCAGGCGCCCTGCGGGTCAATCCTGTGTTCCCAGCAGCTGCTTCCTCGTCGTACAGTGCTCGTGATTCTATCTTCAGGTCTAAGCACACTCCCTCTGCGTTGAAAGATGAAGGATCGTAGTTACAGGACTCTGGGGCCAAGGATCGATGAAATGTATTTGCTTACCCTTTTTAATTCAAAATAGCAAAACTACCCCTCCCCCACCCCCAGACACTCACATAAAAACTTATATAAATAGGAGACAAGGAAATTTAATCTCAAAAGGTTACTTCCTCTTGTAAAAGAAAATAAAAAGCAAACAAAAACTCTGAATAGTCCTTTACAAATTTCAACTCCAAGGTTTATGGCATGTCGTCTGAAAGCTAGGAACAGTTACAGATAGTAATAGTTGACAATGATGAGCTAGCTCATAATCCTTACCTAAACTACCTAAACTTCCCCTCTTGTCTACCCCCTGTAGATTTACTTCCATGCCGTTTCATCCCAGTAGTACCAGATTTCTTCCTTTTTCACCCTAATGAGTTCTCACTACGGTCCGGCACAGTTAATTCCCTTTTGCTTTACACGATCCTTTCATAATATGTACTTTCCACACATCACACCAACAAGCGGGTGATTTTTCTTCTGTGAATCCCCTGGTTTAAAAATCTTGGATAGGCCCACTCTTTTTTTTTTTTATTTTTGGTATGAATTCAATCAAGACCCTCAAACCTCTGTTTTCCTTTTATATGTGATGTGTAAATGCTTTATTTTATCTGTCAGTTTGCAACTGAACTGTAATGTTTTTCTTCAGAATGCTCAGGATGAATCTTGTCTAGACTCCCTGATTCTCAGTTTTTTTCATGGGTAACTTCAGAATTTGTGTTACCTCAGTGCTATTGCATCAAGTGTCTTGAAACTCTGAGGTATTGTTTTCAACATTATATAAAGAGTAATAAATACAGCTTTTTGACACCCCTCCCCCCCAAAAAGGCACCAAATTGTTTTTTTCCAGGGTTGCAATAACAATATATAATAGACAGGTTAACCTAGAGGCAGAATCTGTTTTCTCACAGTTCGGTTCAAGGTTAATGGCGGCTGGCCCGCAGGTTTCTCCTGGTTCTTTGGCCACTTGTTCAGGTGTAGTCAAGTATTCACACAGCCCTTTATCTGTTTACTTTCTTTTCTCATAAGAATACTTAAGAATTTTGTTGATTTGAGGGCCCATCATACATTTAACTTACTTCTTTAAAGACTATATAATATCGCCACATTGGAAGTTACATTTTCAGCAGATTAATTCTGGGGAGACAATTCCATTTATAATAGCTGTCTTATACTAGTATATGAAAGAACTACAGAATATCTAAAGTGTCAAGCAATTGCCCAGAATTTAATAATATTTAAGACATTTCTTGAACATTAGTCATAAAAGCACCTAAAAATTCATTATTATTATTTTTCTGTCTTTTTACTTATCTTTGTTACATTCCATTTTATATAGCCTAAAGATTTTTCCAAAACACTCTTTTTATAGCATTATAGTTCCCTCTTAAAAGCAATCAATAACTCTTCATTGCCAAGTCCAAGAATTTTGGCAATCAGAAACCTTTCTTTCCCTAAAAGAAAGGTTTTTATTTTCTCCCCACTATTCTAATTGCTATTCTAATATAGCAATTGCTTTCTTCAAAAGTTTTCTGAACTAATAATGTTCATGAAACTCAAAGACTCCAAGTCATTAAGTTCATCAACATTTTCATTATTTCAAGCACATTAGGTCATTTAACCCACAACTTAAGCGTAAGAGGCACAGAGAGGTTAACAGTCTTCTTCAAGTTCACCAGTAAAGTCAGGGCTGAAACCCAGGCAGAGAGTTTCGAGCCCATTTTCCAAACCTCCATGCTAGACTGCTTGTCTCTACCTAAATGCTTTACACCCCTCACCCTGTCTCCTTTTCCAAGAACTGGAGTGTTTATTACTTAGTCTCCCCCTAGAGTTAGTTCCTAAGAACGTACACCAACTTTAAACCACTTCTGCTTCTTTTCAGTACTTAGCCTCTGTTAAGTTTAGAACAGGTACTCACTAGTGCTAAACTTTATTTTGTATACTCGATCACTTAGAAATTTGATTTGTGTATCAATAAAGCTTGTTACCAAAAAAATCAGAAAAATCCTTTCTTTAAAAGGCCTTTAAAGGCTAAGTCAATTTTAAATTGCAAAGTGAATTTCTCCTCTGCTTGTTCTAGTTGTTTCTAGTCAATGCTCTTTAATGGGAAACTGAAAAGAAATTTGAGAGGGATGGAAATAGAGTTCTTTAAATTACTGAAAGGTTCTTCCAATATCAAAGAGTTCTTTGGTTTTAGTTCATACCCACTTATTGAGTGCTTGCCTATCCTGTCCTGGGCACTATATGAGACCCTGGCTAGGAATGCAAAATAAATAACACATGTTGCTTAACTTCGAAGAACATTTGTGTTACCAAACCTTAAGTTTTATAACAAAAGTTTTGTAATTAAAGAGAAATTGATAAAATTGCTTGCTATATACAAGTACTCAAAATAAATTTATATTTTATTTTGTACTTAAAATGAATGCAAGATCCTAAATTATTTTTTAAATATTAAGAGGCAAGAAATACAGCTTAGTGGACTGAGCACATGCTTTGCATGCAGGAGTCCCCAGCATCACATGGTCCTCAAAGCACCAACCAGGAGCCAATCCCAAGCATAGAGCCAGGAGTAACCCCAGAGTTCTGCCAGGTCTGGCCCCCCAAAAATAAATAAATAACGCTAAATATAGCAAGACTGAGGTGAATTACATATTATGAGATAGCAATCAATACATAAAAGACAATGGAAATATAATGTAGTTGATTTTCTGAATAATGTGACATTTTTAGAGTCTGAGAGATAATACAGCAGGTAGTGCACTTGCCTTGCATGCAGGGGACCTGAGTTCAATCCCCACCACCCTATTTGGTCCCCTGAACCTGCCAAGAGTGATCCCTGAGCACAGAGCCAGGAATAATCCTGAGCATGCTGGGTGTGGCCCAAAAACCAAGGAAAAAAAGGAGAAGGAGGAGGAAGAAGAAGAAGAAAAAGAAGGAGATGGAAGAAGAGGAGGAGGAGGAACAGGAGGAGGAGGAGGAGGAGGAGTAGGAGGAGGAGGAGGAGGAGGAAGAGGAGAAATAATGGGAAATTCTTGGTGTAAAAGCAAAAGAAGTTACCTTGTTTTTTCTCAAACACATTCTGTCAGAAGGTGGCATAATAAGAAAACTTGTTTTACTTCTTTCTGTAACCACAGCAATCTACACCAAAACTCGGATTCATCTACACTAACTCTGATGAGTAAAACTTTCATAGCATAGAGCATACGGTTATCATCTGAATGGACTGAAGACAGTGATGCCCTCACCAATAAAAAAATTCTATTCTGGTAACAAATCAAGAAGAGATCTCCAAGGTGAGGAATTTTACCCTGGAATGGAGTGACATTGTACCAATCACTTTGCGTTCCAATCTATAATCCTGTACTTAACAACACTGGAAGCAAGAAACTACAGGCTGTGGTCACAGGAGACTGTGGTTACAGGAGACAGTCATGACAAGCACCTTTTCAGGGACCGCTTGTAATCTTGTTTGTAAATGCCAGATTAGATCTCATTCTCTAAGAGAAAGGCTAAGAGAAAAGCTTTTGTTTGCTTCTTTTAAGTTTTTTGTTTGCTCGTTTATGGCCAAACACATAGCTGTAATCAGAGCATACTCCTCTGCTCTGTGCTCAGTGATCATTCTTGAAAGTATTTAAGAGATTGACTACATATGGTGCCCAGGATCAAACCCCAAATCGGCAGCATACAAGGCAAGAACCCCACCTGCTGTACTATCTCTTAGGTCCCAAGATATTTAGGTTTCTATAAGATTATGAGGGAATTAGTCCCCTTTGTGATCAGAACCCTTCAAGACCTAACCTGATGGGATCAGTGCCCTTACAAGAACCCACTAATAGAGCTTACTTTCTCTCTGTAGGGTCTGTGAGAAGGTGAAAAGAAGGTGAATGTCTGTAAGCCAGAAAGCAAGATCTCACCATAATTTGATAATGAACACACGTACTTGGATTTCCAGTCTTCTGAATTGTAAAATAAGAGATTGATTCTGTTGTTTAAGTC